CTTCAGAAGCTCTCATGGGACATTCGACAAACTCATAAGCTCTCTCCTGATGCGCTGGGCCAGCCGGTGGCGTCGGAGCCTGATGCATCGGGCAATCAGGAGGCGGAGAGCCTGGGTTTATATTACACATTATGAATTATTATTACATAAAATCCACCGATATCAAGCTCATGATAACAGATGGTGCATGACTCACTTTTAGGTGGCTCTTGATGCATGGGACACCCAGGGGGTGGGGACGCCCCACCAAAATGAGGCACTGACATTGCAGACTCTGCTAGAATAGTGGGGGCAAGACTGGATACAGATGCACCCATGATGAACACCAATCCTGAAGAGATCAAGAGATCATCAAGGACACTGAAGATCAAGTAGATCTTGTTGCATCATTACTTGTGTTATGCTGTTCATAGAAAATCGATTTTCTTTCTTAAAATTCATTATTTATTCGCCCACATGCCCTTCCTAACCTGTAGGACTTCTTTCTTCTGACAAAATATGGACTTGTATCACAAAAACTGACTATATAAGTTTAATAAAATAGTAAAATAGTACAACATGATGTGAGACAATTTGATGTACCATATTTGAATCAATGCAAAAATATATTTTTCCTCACACAAAGTTATCATAAGGCTTCAAATGACTTAATATGAGTATGTGGCATGAACTATTGTTATAGCGTGTTCATGGTGTTGTATGGTCATTTTTGGAGCTGGTGACAATTCATTTTCATTGCTTGAAAAAAAAATATTTCACAGAGATTCAGAGCAACTTTGCATGTTGTTTTACATTATAAGTAACATACTCTTTTAAGATACATATGGGCTAACATACTATACCGTCAGTGAGAGTACAGCTAAAATAAAGCTGATTTTGATCATTTATGTACCATATTTAAAAATTGTAGATATTTTCCAATTCCAAAATGTAAAAGTTAAGTTACAAAATAAGTTATATAACATCATTCATTCATTCATACACAGTCATGTAAAACAATGTCACTGAATATCAAACAACATATTCCTCTAAAAAAACACCTTCATTAAAACGTAACCAGCTTTTTAAATATCTTGATATAATAATATCGATCACTAAAGCGTTACAAATATGACAGCATAACTCACCTTTCTGTGTGTCTAATAAATATTAATTACATTGTGCTTTTTCTTTTCTCATTTTTTATTTTTCTATTTTTGATGTAATAAAATAATAAATAATTATAATAAACTAATAGGCAAGACGTATCGAATTAAACCAACACAAAGGTTTCACCCTATACAGTCTATGGTTTAACCTTAAAAAGAAGGACACAAAATCATCATGAATCAAAATGAACATATTGCTTTATTGAGGCAAATGGCATAACGAAAGTGAAAAATTAAGACACGTCAAAGAATAAACATGTTCATTCCTCAGGTACATGCACTTTCCTTCACTTTGGGAACAAGCTCCCTGTAGTCACCGAAGTAATTGTAAACCTTTACATGGCAACAGTTTCCGGATGTGACATTTGTATATGGAACGGAACAGTAATAAAAATACAGTCATGATATTGTGCATTGACACATTCCATAAATTAAACAAAATTAAAAAAAAAAAAAGTTTGGATTTTTATGTATTGAAAGGACTTTTAGTAAAAGTAAAATTCAACATTGTTTTGACAACAAACAAAAAAAAA